CTTTTAAACCATCACACGTTATTCACCGCATTATTCACCACAAGTCAGTCTTTATCTGAATCCAGTAACGCAAATGATATCTAGTTGGCATTTGGAGTCGAATCTCAATGAATCGTAACACATTGACATCAAGTGGTCAACAGCAAGAGATAAAAATGATTTAGATGGTTATACTGTAGCTCTGAAATATTATAAGATAATAATTTAGTGATTGTCTGTTTAGATTGACAAATCATTTTTTCAGTAATCAAGGTTGAATCAACTCTTCATGAATTGTGATGTGACTCTTTTCATCTGTTTTTAGTTTAATAATTAATTCAAAAACTTGATTTCCTAGTGCAGCTTATTTGATGTTATATGGTTAGAGGTAATCAGAATGTGTATCAGTTCTGTGTTTATCAATAGTGTGAATTCATCAAAAAGCCGTACGTGTAACCTTGATAAAATTTCTATTCCCCATAGAAGATATAATTCTTTCATCCAAACACGCAAACCGAGATGTTACAAGAGTGAGTATAATTTCCTTTAAGTTTGTTAAAAAATTGCTTTACTGACGAATACTAGATAACTGATGAAGTTCCTGTAGCTTATCTCTGCCTACCTAATATCTGTTTGTCTAATGAACATTTGAAATTCAGTAATATTCGCCTGTTCCATCTACAAACAGATTGTATTTTCGTTAAAATGACGAGGATCTCTTGCACGTAATAAACAGTGATATGTAATAAACTTGCCCTTCTTAATAATTCAAAGTTTCATTTGTAGAATTCATGTTTTAAACTGACTAAAGAACAGTGTCAAATAGATAAAATATACTTAATTCCCAAAACGCACTCTATTCAACCTGATAGTTATTAGTGGAAAATATATCAAATCTAGTTGTCAGTGCCAATATAATCATTTTATTAGTAATTGTAATGACTGTTCAGTCCAGATTGATTTTGTTATTTACGTTGCTATTTCTTTAGTTATAGATCAAGAAAGCTTTTCTACGTGATAGAGATTAGAGTCATATGACCATAAGTATAAATAATATTTTTCTGTTTACTTTACACTTGTAATCTATAGCTATCTATCTTTGAAATATCATGTGTTCATCGTTATATCTTTATACATAGTCCGTTTGCTTTGTTTACAATAAATCTGTTTGCCTGTCAGTCGTTTTTTCCCTAACTGTCGTCTTCCTATAGAAGATTAATACTAATTAATATTATGAGGCATTCATTATTTTAGTGCCGATAACGCCAACTTCAATGAAATAATTATAATACTGGCGCTATCTGGAAATTCAGCGATCCTAGGTTACATCATTTGATAAAGTTTGGTAAAATCATGTCATAATTTCCTTACATTTCTAAATAGACCACTTTGCTAGTGGAAACGGATTATATAATCGAGCGACTTGATGTGTACACATCGATTGAAAACTGGGATTCTTTTTATCTAGGAAATCTATGTAACACTAGTTTACCTTTTCGAAACAGAAGTAATCTTAACTCAATAGACTTTATAACAGTTTAATGATGGATGTAGCTTGCACAACGAAGTGATCATTAAAAACCAGAGAGGAATAAAGAGTTATCTTTTCCTAGTTTGATAATTATCAGAAGTAGTCACGATTCTACTAAGGATCGATACTAGAACCTTTATGACATAGCGAGATTGTATTATTTCTTGGAGCAACTAGCTGGCATTCGGTAGTCACCATTCTTAACTTCAGCCAACTCATAATATTGATCGCCATCTCCCATTATCATCAGTGACATGTATCACATACCCAAAAAGATCGAACTCTGCTTATAAAGATTTCCTACTACAACTTCTCAATATTGTTTCTTGAAACCAATATTAATAAAAACCTAGATTACTCTGAATAAAGATGAAATATAGAAGTAACACCCTAACAAGTTAATACATTTCAATTATCAATCCTGAACTAAACTAATTAATTATTAAACTTTACTTGCTGCTCCATCTTCAAAAAAATTAATATAAAGTCAAACATGTTAATAGAACAAACAGAATTGATCATAACTTTTCTCCTATTATATGTTGAAATCTATCTACTTTACAAGGTACCAATGTTTCTGCAATAATGACAAATAAATATGAAAGAGAAACATTTTAATGTTATGCAATCAATGTATTAACAATATATTTCATACAAAAAAAGTTGTCAGTATTCATGTTTTCTGTCATTAGACACTTATATCTCGCGTGTATTTACAAATGGGAGATTGTTGAAACACGTGTTTTGAACTTGTTATTTAAACAGAACAAGACAGAGAGATAAAGATAGGAATGTACCCAAACACATAAATAGCTAAAGTCAGAATAAACCATTCGTTGTAAATAACTGTTTATAGTTCATGTATTTCGGCAGAGTATAAAGATAAAAATAATTGTTTTCGGTATAGGGTTTTGTGTAGATTAGAGAATTATCAGAGTTTTGAAATCACAAACTAATCTCAGCGAGAACAATACTGAACACCGGAAAGCTTTAACCATTCGTTTTGAATCAGTTTGAAGCTGCTCATAAGCGCGTATCCACGACCTTGCTACAGAAAATCGAATCCAGTACCTTCAGTCTCATCCACGAACCCACACCTAAGGCGAAACAACTGTCAAAAGCTTCTCAGTTTTCACTGATTGTCTAAGTAAGACCAGTTCATCATCGAATAACTATAAATGGCACTTACTGTTTACACAATGTTCATTTGTTTTACAATTAATTAATAAATTTTACGAAATACATTTACTAACGTCATAAAATGAAATAAGTTTTTGGAGACTTATGTATATTTTTATGATGTGTTTTAAAGTTGATGAACTAACGCCAGTTGGATAATTGATAAAGATCAGACTTCAGTGGACAGCTGTGTTCGTTTTCATGCATAAAATTTGTACTAGTATGTATTTATGACTTCACATGAGACAGTGTTCAAAATTTTCAGATAATACAAAGAGTTTACAGTAGTCAGAGAAGCCATCACAGATATGCTGAAGTTGTAATTGACATCATGCAAGAATGAGATATTCTGTTATTCCAAAACACTAAAGATCAGGAATACATGAGATTGTTTACTTCTCAATGATAGCATCTCAGACTATAAAGCTGGGTAACACACACATTCACATTCCATAAATAGCATCAATCCTTTCGAAACTGTGAATACATCTTTCTAATGTGTGTCACCTAAAAACAAATCTAGATCTAAAAGTTTCCTGCTGATTAATTCCAACTATTTAACATTGAACTGTATTGTATGCCATCTGCATCTGCTTAGACTAGTGACCACAATAGAATTTGATCAGTATTCAAGAAATAAACAAGTCTGATATTGCTTACTATTCAACAGTCAGTTAATGATGAATCTATCGTTTGTTTATATGTGATAGAATCGTCTTATTCTTTAGTTATATAGATTATCTAGTAATCCACTCATAGTTCTAATGCATTTCGGCGAGAAAATGTCAACTTTATCCTGGATTGTAGTTTAGTTAACACGACTAAAACAATTAAGTTTACTAAATAATGATTAGTTGGAAGTCTATACTCAACCATAAATACAACAGAATAAAGTAAATAGTAGTCGAATTAATCAATACTAATTCATTACAACAACAGAAAAATAAATCATTTTATTGTGCAGTAACCTCAATGCTCCAACTTGTTACGAGTAGTTTTAAAAAAAATACCTGGAGTTGATTGTAAAAGTAAGCAGTTCCTCTACTAATAGTACAGCCCTGTCCCTTCCCCAGTTAAATTAAGCATACCTGATGCACCTGTACTTCAGGAGCAGTTCTATTCTAAAACTCGTAGTCTAAAACCAAGCCTAATTTCAAATTAATTATAGCAGCGTTTAATGGAGATGAAAACGATCAGAATGGTAGAAATAATGATGCTAATGTATTGAAATGAAAGGAAATTTCACTAGATGATCACAAGACAAGAATTCAAATATTTAAATAAATCATACTTGAAAAAGACTCGGTTCACGGCACGAAAAATCATAGCTATTGACAATCAGTCTAAACTATGTTGATAAGCTCAGAGTATCTGCTTGGTGTTCATGAGACAATGGTAACCAGTTAATAGAGATAATATGTAAGAAGGATGATAATTGGTAGTAGCAGATCTAAGGTATTCATTTCTTGTTTTCTTTTAGATCTAGAGTTTTAAAATTATCCTATATCTTTTATTTCGAATTGATTCTTTTTCTACCACTAATCATATATATATATATATCATATTTTTAGCTGGTAGTCACCACCAAGATACGTTTATAATCGTCCGTAAGAAGCGATGCTCCCTTAGATTATTGAGATCTACAAATATTTACTTGCACAATCTGTGATCCAGAACGAAAACGTGATACTACGAATCTATTTATTTACAGCAGTAATACTAAGATCAAACGGAATTTACCAGTAGTTCTGTAAAATTTTTAAGCTTTATGATAATATTTTAGTAACATTCTTTCATTGTTAAAGTATACAGTATGATATAATTTACTTTCTCTAGTACCCATGCCTTGTGTCTAGTAAATTACCGGACAGATGATGGAACAATCAGTCAACTGAATGAAGTATCTCTTCTCGTTACAGTTTGTCTAATGGATTACACTTAATTGTACAACTATTGGAAACCAGGAAGCAATGGACAACTGTTTTATTCTGCTATGTAACTCCTCACAAGTCAGCATCTAGAGGCTTATCACCAAAGATTGATGCTATAAACTTCAGGTGCTTCATCGAAAGCTCAACCTTTTGACCATCAAACTAACATCCAATGGTTTATATTTTCAAATTCAATCAATTCGAAATAATTAACAACTCTATTTCAATTTCATTGGTGTGTAACTGCTTCACATATAACATAACTGGACTTCACTAGTCATGGCTTCTTGAAGTAGAACTCGCAAAATTATTCACTAATGCGTATTTCTAGAAGATACTGAGTTTTAAGTCTACATCATGAACAGGATTGAATAAAATAACAGCGTTTTTTTGTGGAAAATAATACTTTATTCACAATTAATCAATCATATGTTGTTGACCTTTTGTTTTGTTGATCTTCAATAACTGACTCAACGTTGTGTATGGCTGATCATAAGGAAAGAAAAGTAGAAAACGGAAAGGTTGCATGGTTTATTCACTCTCCACCGAATAATTTCGTTTCTCCGTTTCCGAAAAAAAAGATCATTATCATTTATCAACTTATTTTTATAAGAATGTAATGTCGCTTCCGTTCTGCATCATTAAAATGTTGTATTGTAGTGTTTTACACACAATGTAATAAGATATTAGAAAGTGGTAAAGTTTAGTAGATTCATGTGAAAAATTTGCATGAATACACTTTCAGTTTTCATTGACTGTATTTTACCGACGTGAAGTCAGTCGAAAACCAGTCCACAACAAACAAAAGAAAAAAAATCTGAATGAGTTGACTTGTACAAAATATGAATAAATTTTATTTTAGTATCACGTCTCTTTCCGATCATTAAAATTGATTTTGAACGATAACAATTCATTTCAGTATACTTATAATGTGACTACGATTAATATTAGTAGTATTAGCAGCATTAGTAGTAGGAGTAGTAGTGGTAGTAGTAGTAGTAGCTGTAGTAGTAGTAGTAATAATAATTATTATAGTAGGATTTTTTTCATGCTGTTCTCTTCACATGGAATGTAATTTATAAAATATGATTCTTTTTTTCTACAATATTATTAAATAAAGAAATAAGTGATGAGAAATAATCACTGAAATTTCACAGTTTAAAAATGTGATATAACTCAAACAGACAACTGAATATATGTTCAATGTTGAATGTATATAATTACAGATGTTCAATAGATGTGAATGATTATGCATTTTTTGTAAATAAATTAATCAGATATAATAAATACGTATACGTGTTAATATATAATGTTCTCAGACAATTGCTTCTCTGCCATGACTACTACAGTTAACAGTACTGTTACTACCACAATTACTATTTCGCCCACTACATATACTGCTGCTACAGTCACTCTGATTACTATAATTCCGTGTTAGACAAACAGTTTGTTGTTCATCTATTTCTTCTGGATTTGATAAATAATTTTGTCTCATTGCTTTTGATAAATGCATATCATTGACTGGCACAGTTGAATATCTTGAATTATTCACCATATTGTTATTTTGAAATAGATTGCCAATATTTTCATTATGATGATCTTGTGTGTTGTGTAAATGATTTGAATGAAAATGTAACTGATCAATATTCAATACTGGTGATGTATAGTCAGAGAGAATTGGACTTTCACTATTAATCGGATTATAGCTACCATTTGCATGATGAGGATTTTGAGTTGGTGGTAAAGAAGGAGGATATGGTGTATTTATTGTTGGATTGTTATAGGTTTGTAAATTATTTGAAATCATTGATGACCAGTGATCAGGTGTCATTAGTGAAGTATCATCACCATTAGAAGTTATTGGGCAATTAGATGAATTGTCTGATTTTAAATCTTGCGGCATTAACTGAAATGGATTTGAAAATAATGACGAGGATGATGCTTGAAGAGGCAAACTGGGATGAATATTGCTGTTGTTATTGTTACTGTTATTAGTCGTACTCATAACAGCTATATTATTGGTATTATTATGCAATTTACTGAAATGAGTATTTGGTGATCTTGACTCAATCAATCGCTGTTTCATCCCTGGTAAATGGTGTTCTTTTTTCCATTTCATTCGACGATTTTGAAACCATATTTTAATTTGTCTTTCAGACAATGTTAAAGTATGCGCTATTTCAAGACGTCTTTTTCGTGTTAAATATTTATTATAATGAAATTCTTTTTCTAATTCCAAAATTTGTTGTCGTGTATATGCTGTACGAGTACGTTTCGGATCATTTGGTTGACTGATGTAACATATATCTTCAGTTTCATCTAACGAGAATGATGAAGGATCGATAATACATTTAGGCGACTTGATTAAATCTGTTGATGACTCCATAATCTGACGTTGTTGGTGTTGTTGTTGTTGTTGTTGCGGATGATGATGGTGATGATCATCTCTTGTCCAATTCACTTGACCAACTGTGCTAGATTGAATGCCTAATACGGTTGAAGTTTGTGATGCATGCGAAATTGACAGAGGTGGAGAGGATTCATGCAAATTTAATTGTTGATCAATGCTTGAATGTTTTGTGCTTGTTTTTAATTCTTTACTGTTAAAATGCTCGGTACTTTGTTGTTGTTGTTGATGATGATGCTGATGATGATGATGATGTGGTTTAATTATTTCTTCAGTTTCTAAATGTTGAATTGGACTTACTAATGCAGTTTGTTTTTTAATTTGATGCTTAGCGTTCAATGCTTTTCCTACAGTTTGTCTAGATGCTGAAAAAATTATAAAATAATTTTGGGAATGATAATTAATTCAAATGATAAAATAAATGAATTAAAATAGTTCATAAAGAAAACATATAATTATATTAATTAATGCGAAATAACATAATAATAATAATAACAACATAATACCAATATTAAACCATCATTAGAAACCTGGAAGCACTGGACAGTAGTGACCATTAGGATTCAGTCGTGATGGATGTGAGATAATTCCCACCGCAGGCAATGGATGAGGTCATGCAATATCATAGATTAATTGAAATTAGATATTAACACGGCTGGATGACGGCTTATTGGTCAAGAGATTAAGCGTTCGACCGCCAGATCGAAAACCCTGGGTTCGATTCCCACTTATGCACTTTGATTTGTCCCATACTTAGATGAAACGGTTGTCCAGTACTTCTGGGTTTTCAGAAGTGGTCTAAAATTTATAGATTCACGATTTCAATCAACTTACATCAGTCGATATACTTCCATGTCACTAATTCGTAGTGTTGAGGCCGGCTAAGTATAGAAACAGATCATACTGTGTGAAGAAAACAGAATTAAATTGTTTCGTCTATCATATTAATCAAGTTTCATTGGTTTGCTTTCCTTCTGGACTGGGACCTCGTGCTTTCTGAATGCTTGTAGAATACAGGTTCTACTTCATATCAAGTCTTCTTCTATTATTCAATGGGGGTTGGGACACTTGGATTAGAGTAGCATGTCGTGTCGCCGGATCCTCTTCTCGTTTACAACTAAGGTAAACTCGTAATAGTTCAAGCATATCAAAATGACGTGTTTATGTGCATGCTTAACAGCTTTATAGAAAACTATTAATTATCACAATCTAGAAGACTTTCATCAATTTTCAGTCTTTAAATAGATCATAGTCCAATGGTCAATGGTTTCATAAACTCAAACTAAATTTCTGTCTAGCTCTAGTAGAAATTTTCTTTACTTTTACGTGCTATCCAGCATAAGTCACTGTTGTGGGTGGTTTTGCAACAAATGACCCAATGGCATCAGTATATTCTATTTTGTAACCTAGTCAATCAATTTCCTATCCTCATATGGTGGTTCAAATCCAAATTCAGCAGTTCTGCAAATAAAATGCAGAAGCACAAAGGGTTCAAATGCAAGTAACCTATACATTTCTTCAGCCCATAATCTCAATCTAATTTCATGGGATGGAAAAGTATCAACATAACCTACAGTTCGCAAGATAGTTTAATATCCTGGTATAATGTTTGCAATCTTTAAATAAAGATTATGAATAAGTTCATAGTATGTAGATTGTTCTATTTCATAAATCAATTTGAGTTGGAAATATAAAACCGCTGGATACATGACTCCAAACTGGATGGTATTGTACGCTTTGTGCGACCTTCCAGTCTTACTTTTAATCATTCCTCTTAAGATACTATAGTTTAGCATCATGTGGTCTTATTGAAAGATGAAATAGTTGTCCAGTGTTCTTGTGATTTACAACAATCGATCAGCTGATGTTAAGTCATCCTGTTGATCATGTTTAAATGAGATAGGAGCTGTAGATACTCTTATAATAAAGCTTAAGATTTATATATATATATATATATATATATATATATATATATATATATATAAATTAAATATACATTCACTCAGTTTCTACATACTCAAACAATACTGTGGAATGAACCCCACAAAATTAAGATCGACCATAACAAACCATTAATAATTGTTGAACATCATAGTTATTCATAACGAACTAAATTTGTTTTGTTTAAATCAATATTGTATAAATTCGTAGACAAATCAAATTTATTTTATGTATATGAATACTTTTACGTTTTTTTTCTAAATTTTTGAATTAATTTAATTAACTTGTTGATTCAACTAAAAATCACAAATATAAATCATGTCATAAATTAATTAAAATAAATCATATTAAGAATGTCAGTTTGAATTGTTCGCTCGTCTATTCATTAAAAAAAAAATAGAATACTCAATTTTGAGTTGAATACTTCCAATATTCAATAATGAACTTGTCACTATTGTATGAGTATGATGTATCAATGTTCATTCCTCGAGAACCAAAACCAAAAAAAATAATGTCAAAAAGATCCCATAAATTGTGTTTTTTGTCTTTTCAAGACTTGACCTTAGTTCCACACACACACACACACACTTAAATCTATATATTAATTGCATACAAGTCTACACACACACACACAAACACAATTTCATTTATTTGACTGACTCAAATGAGCATCACAATAAATGATCACTGAAATGTTTTTACTTCACTCTTCACAGTTCAACAATATGAATTTACATTTGTTTTTGATTTTAAGCAATCAACGCATTGACTGTGTACACATTGAAAAAAAATCTATCCATTTAATCAAATAACAATAGATATATAACAATATATATATATATATATATATATATATATATATATATATATATATATTGTAAAGAAGCTATGTATATTGTTCACATTTCCCCCTGGAGCAAAATCAATTTACAATACAAAATCTCTATCGAAGTCTATATGAATACAATCCATATTAAATAGCATGAACAATGGATATGGTTTCAAGCATACCAACACAAATAAATGTAAACCAAACTTCCACTTGTCTTGATAATTATAAGAATAATAATAATAATAAAACATTATCACAATAACGTCTACTAACCGGCAAACTAACTATTCACAGTTATTCTAACTTGAAGATAAATACTGTATTGATTGTCTGTCTAGGTGAAAGTCATGTCAAAATACCGCCGTTACAAAATAAAAAAAAACAAAATATTATAGATGTAGATATTTGACATGTCACACACTCAACCATTCACAAACACACACTCACACACACACACACAAACACCCATTTACTTTAAATCCTTCACTCTCCACTAACTAACCTCACTTGAACAATACACAATGGTCAAGATAATTATTAATAAATACCCTATGAAATTTGATGTGCAACAGTTTCTTAGGAAGGTATGCCAAAAAAAAAATGATTTGAACAGTAATCAACTACAACTATGTTACTTAAAAAAAATAAAATAAAACAACAACAATCAAACTTGTATTACCTTGCCAACGGTACATGTTCCACTCAGTACATGTTTCAAAAAAAATAAAAAGTGGAACACAAGGAACACAAACGTTGATTTTATGCACATTTATACGAAAACTAAGACGCCAACACATTATTATCATTGATAGACACAAAGTGATGGTAATAAGCGGCTGACCTTTCTTCTTCTTCTTTTTTCCTTTGCTTTCTTGATTATCGAATGGGCTAAATGTGTGTTCAGTTACATGCATGCTGCATGCATAAATTCACATGAAATATTTCGAACACTAAATGCATGCATTCGATTCTGATATAAGTAGTGAAATACAATTACCTACATATCTGTATATATATATATATATATAGGCATAGTCCATTGTGTGCATAAACATGTAATTGTATTTTCTCAGTCATGACACTGTTTCGTTCATTCGGATTACAGTGGCAAAACTTTTTTAATACTACTTACACGACTACACGACTATTAGGATCAAAGAAGTATGTTAGTTTAGACAAAGTGATATATATATATATATATACATATAAAGTGACAAGGCTGAATCTGTACACAAGCAAGCTAAAAGAAAAGTGAATCAATCGATGTGGATTCATGCAAAAATGTAGGCATTGTCGGTTTAGCGGTGTTTGTATGCATACTAAAGTTAAGTATCGGTTTTTTTTCAAATGGAAATATTATTTACATGGATATATATACAAAGTCATACATACTATGCATATGTTGTTGTACATGGACAGCACACATGAAATACAAAGTACGCACTTGAATTCAATAATTATTCGGGCATGATGTTGTGAATTTTCCGGTAGAAGTTATCTTAATGGACATTTTTTTTTAATTTCGGAAAAATCCGTGAGAACGATTTTACGTTTCGTTCTTTTTGCGCGCTCTCTCTCTCTCTCTAGCCTACTAGCTGGCTGGCTAAATCTTCATCTCTTTGTGTCTGTTTGACAGTGTGATAAATTAATGGCCTAATGAATAATGTACAGTTTTTAAGAAATAGTAAAATGTCAGCATTGATTAGATATTATATTTATGTGTTAATACACTACTACTTATATTTATGTAACATGTGAAGTAAGAGTAGTAGTAGTAGTATTAGTAGTAGTATATTATCAGAAATATTTGCCTATTCCGTTTTTTTCCATAGATTTCATCAAGGAATGAAAGTAGATTTTGAAGAAAAATCATGTACAATTCATGAGATAACATTTAGCAAAAATAATTTTGTAATAACTAAAATACTAACAGCATTATTTATTTAATTAAAAGTTCTTAGTTATGTTGTAAATGTTATACATGAGAACTTCAGTGAAAAAATGTCTTAAATAGTTGAATTAATGGTTACGGATGACTTTTAATTAATATATTAAGTCTTACGAAAATGATATCTAGCGTTCATTATTTAAGGCTAGAGATATCAGAGTCTATTGAATGAAGTGAGATATTTTCATGATAGGGTCGTGAAAATTGTTCAGTTTCGTTGCAGTTTTCAAATGATCAATGTTAGACCATGATTGGAAACCTGGAAGCACCAGACAGCTTTTTCATCCTAGGATGTGACTCATCACGACTGCGACTCAGTGGTCTAGAGGTTAGGTGTTCACTTAAGCGACCGAAGGTCTTGAGTTCAATTTTCATGAGCGAGAGTCGTGGGTATGCACCGCCGATGTGTCCTGTATCAGGCCAAAACGACCGTCCAATGCTTCCAGGTTGCAAACTGTAGTCAAACATTGATTCATAATTTCAATAAATTGAAACAGTTCTCTGATGCACTTACTAATTAGTTCAGTGAAAATAAGAAGATAACCTTTGAAATTAGTTTCTGTTACATGAAAAAGGTTTGAATAGTATTTTTTAAAAGTCGACCATAACTACATTTCTCAAGCTACGTGAAAAAATCACGTTAG